TATATATATATATATATATAGCCTATTGCGCGTATAGTGAGTAATTGAATGATAGGAATTATAAATATTACAGTTAATAAATGTTATAGAATATCAGAACTTTATCTCTATACGACATTCCCAAATACGATAAAATAGCAAAATTGAAACAAACCATGCTATAAACATTGACAGAAGAGAATTATATTCGTGACGATAAAAATATGGACACAATGATAATATAATGACTTGCTTAAAGCTGTAAAGCAAGCTTATATATAAATATTGTCTCATCCACAGCATATTACCAAAGAGAATGTCGTTAGCGTGGATAAGATGCAGATATCGAGAGTGGACGTATGATTCGCCACGCACACTCCTCCGTTTTTTGGTTTGTACTCTGGGTTGTGAATTGTGATCATACCCAAAATAGAACGTGACATTATTCTGAACGCAATAAGGGAGGCCTGGTTGTTCGCCCAATGTTTTACGCGGCCGTTCGATAAAAAGCCGATTAAACATGTTACGATTACGAGATACAGTACCTAAGAAGCTTTGATATTAGTATATATAGCAGCTTTGAATTTACGTTTGACTTACACGTCTTAATAAACTGTACAATGTTGCAAATTTAAAACATCTAAAAGTGCAAAAACATTAACTATTATGCATGTTTTTTTGAAGATATTACTCACAATCTAAATATTTTTTTGTTAACTAAAGGAAATTTATACTGCCAGATAAATACGGAACAGAATTCTTATTTTTTAAAACCGAGCTTATTATATATTTACTATTATTATTATTATTATCGTTATTATATATGTTAATTATATAGCGCGCATATAACATATAAAATAGTATTGCACTTACCCCTACAAAGCAAATAAATATCCTTAAGGGCAGAAGGAAGCAATAACGCATGACGAATCCGAACATCCATATGAAAGTTAACTTCCAGGAAATAAATTCATAATATCTATTCGTTCGTGTTAATAGATTCCAGTTCTACATAAAAATGCAATAACAAATTATTCAAAGACACGTAAATTTATTAAATGTACATTAATCAATAATTATTATGTAAATATCAATTTATGCTTTTAGGCACAATCGAGAAAGCATTACCTTAAGTTCTTCTGCTTCAAATCGCGATGTCACTTCATCCTCTATGATAGCTTCAACGCCCGCTCTGATGTAGTCCAGGCAGCTTGTTGGCGCAAATCCGGCTTTTAGTGTTTCAAACGAATTTTTGTGATCTAGGCTGTCCTAAAACATATAAAAATAATTGAAAAAATATTTCCAATTTGCATAAAATTTGACAAAAGTATATACAAAAGCATAATCTTATATATTTTTTTTACTCTATAAATTTACCTCTTTGACTTCATCGATCGTTGATGTTTTTTGTTGATCGTTTTTTAGATTCGATTCTTGAACGTGATTCTTGTGATTGTGCATTTCTGGCTCTGGGACTAAGATGAAGTCCTTCGATCTGGCTATCACCGAGTTGCCCGCACACCCATTTTCTGCTTTTGTCGATGTTATTGTTGAATTTTTTTCCATGATCGTCGGTGACTCGAATCCCTCTTCTGTACTAAGATTTTCATCTGCATCCCGATTACCATTTCTCTTCTTTACATTTTCTATGTTTTGTCTGCCGTACTGTAACACAGTAAAGTGGCCGTTCGTAAAATATGCATGAATTTATTACGTCGATTATTTCTTGCATCATTATCGTTTTTTTTAACGAACAATTATAGTTTAAAGGTCGCAAGGCATTTACATCATCACTAGTACTAATAATTTCTCTTTCTTTTTACGGACTTTTATTCTACGCGTGATATAATGGAAGACATGTACCGTTATTATTATTCAAGAAACTGAGATTGATTTGATTAGTTAAGATTGATTGGATTAAAATACCACAATTCAAAAATAAAAATAAAATAGATTGAAGAAAACTATAAATCAGAATCTCTCTGAATTTATATGCCTTTAAAAATATGGTATTCGTAACGATATGCATCTGATTCCATTATTATGAATACCTGCGATTGCAATTTAAGGAGGAATAAACCAAGGAGAAGCCATTCTATGGAACATTACGTAATAAGAAAATAACGAATACTTTGTTATTACAAGAGATAGGGGAAAATAGATGCACGCGACGCTATGCATTCAATAAGAGCATATGTTATTGAAGATTGCCATACTTAATAATCATACTTAGCTATCGAGACTTTAATCTTTGTTCACCCATCATAATGACAAGTCAACTTCGCAATGAATCATGATGCGTTATAAAGGGGAACTTCAAAAAGAAATCCAATGCGTGAACATCGTGTGCCAAATGAATATCTATCACTTTGATCAATAATATTTTGCAGATTGCCGTGATCGATTATCGTGCTATCTTTAATGTGAAGAGTATTTTGATACTTTAATAAAATAAGAGAATTTGATTAATTAACAATCATTTACTTCGAGACTGTATTATAATTTATTTGTTAAATATTTGATAATTAGATGTATTATATATTTCATTAGGGAAATGTAATGCTTGCTCGTATATAAATATAGAAAAATCAAAAATGATGTTTTAGACTATTATCTACACAAAGAACAAGTTTATTTATAAACAACATTTACAATTATTTATAAAGTTGTTTATAAAATCAATTTATACAAAAATTAATTTGTTGTAAACAAAAACAAATTTATTTTTCGTTATAAATTTCTAAAATTTGTGATTAAATTTTGATTTTAAATTGCAGGTTTAAAGCTTAAAAAGCAGTGATACAAATGATGCAAGCAATTATTCAGCACGAGTGCACCATGATGAATATTAACTTCTGGCACAAATGCACTGAGTCACTTTTACTTGCCTGTGTTCATTGAACTGGCATTTATTCAGTGCATTTGTACCAGAAATAATTAAATATATAATAATGATACAATCATAATTCCATCACCATCATATCATCTCAATCCAAATTATTATATTAATGAAATGACTTTTAAGTTAAAACATGAGTAATCGATTTTAACTGTATTTTTAGCATTTGATCGGCAAGTATGGTTTTGCATATGAAAATTAAAAAGAGATAATGTGTCAAGTAATATTTACTATTTTTCTGTACAAATTGCTAACACATTAAATTTATTGATGTGACAGCAGATTTGACAGCCATGCACAAATGTAATATGTCTCTACAAGAGCTGTGATGGAACAATAGTCAACCCAATAATGGTAAGTAATAAAGTTATTAAATAATTCAACCATTTTATTACTTTAAGTAAACTATGATTAATGTTTCGTTTGGTTCGCGAGTCAGTTTAAAAAGAAGATCTGAAGAATAAAGTAAATCTCGAGCTTTTATGTTAGTAATAATTTTTTAAAATCAATCTTTTTTCATATTTTGCGCAAAATAAAAAATTTTAAAATTTTAAAGAATAAAAATTGCAAAAGAGAGCAAGGAAAAAAGATAAGATGAGAAACGCTGTTTAACATAAATGCCTCAATATTTAAATGATCGTGTTCAGATTCTAGATTATCCTATCAATATTATATAATAAGATATCTTTGAAGTGGTGTGATGTTTTACTTTTGTTACCAAGAAACTTGATATCGGAATTGAAGTACATTTAAAATATCAGAGTGCACGTGATTGCAAATAACAAGGCACATTTAGGCTCGATGCTAATTACATGAATCATTTTTACATCAATATATTTTATGAGAAAAAATTTAATCCAAATTCCTCAGAAAATCTGTCATTACAATTGCAGTAGCGTGAGATGCGAGACATATATGCTTGTACTTATCATGAAAAACTTCAGTATATGTTCCTTCCGCAATGTAATTTTATTGTTAATATAAGTCTTTTAATATGAACAAGAGTCTCTTACGTTAGTTGACATTAATTATTGTATGTTGATCATTCGCTTCTCATGTTAACGTTTCTGTTACCACGTTTCGTGTACATATGACATCTCAATTTACATAACAGGTTAATGCCATACACACACACACACACACACACACACATGTGCAATATACAATAATAAACATTAAGATATATATCGCGTATTAATTTAGAGATAAACGGCATAGTCAGAAAAAAAAACTTCATATATCGTTTTAAAAAATATATTGCAAGAGAATTATTTGCATCAGGCATTTCTTCACGATTTTTATTGATAATAATAACGTATATTTTATAACTTATAGCTACTCCATCGATTGGGTGCAAACAATTTGTAAAAGAAATAACGTGAGTTACTTAATCGCCATTTAATCGATACTTCACATGTTTCAGTGCATGAATCGCAGCTTCAATATATCTGATGACTGACGGCACGTGATGTCAACGTGTGAGAAAGCATCCGGATCACGCGGCAATATGTTCATGGGCTTTCTCCCGAGAGAAATAGACGAAGCCTCTCACTAGTAATCGAAAACGGAAATTCAGATAATTCGTAATCGCCAATGCTGCAAACGCACACAGACTTTATTTTTATTTTATTTATATATTTCTTTTTAAGAATTTTTGTTTTATAAATCCATACAATATATCAGTAAAAATTAGAAAATATTCCACTTAATTTTGCAATAAAATAAATTTCCAAGTGCATAATTTCTAACGATAAGTTAATATAATATAAGTTTCAGAGTGTAGTCTTTTACCGTTCCAAAGAAAATGGACTTCAAAGATTTCAAATTTTAAAATAATTCTTACACGGAAAAAAATTGCTGTTGCTTCAATTAAAATCTACGCCACGGGCTGCCACACAGACATACATAATTCATTCAATGATATTTTTATTAGACCAAATCATTCAAACATGTATGTCTCAAGGTAATCTTGTTATAAGTAATAATACCAACTTAATTGATTGCAAATGATTATGTATGTAAGTTCTAGAATACTATTTCCATAATGACATATGACATTGAAAATATTATCGCAGATGATATTTTTACAAGTATATCAATACATTGAAATAATAATAACTAACATCGTTTTGTATATGAAAAGTAAAACGACAAAGTAATTGAAATTATAGAATAATTAATTGTTTGCAGTATAAATTGTATTGACTTATTAATATCAGTTCACTTAATAAATGCAAATGCTTTAGCGATTAATTGCTCGAACAATCAATCGATTGTAAATATAATTAATAATACCATCGTTTCGTTGAGCGAACTTTGAACTGATCATTATCATTTGATAAGTACGTATTAGATATCTCTCTTATCTGCTTTTAATACCTTTATAAAAAAACAACTACAAAAGGGTCAAAGATCTTACAATAAATAATGTATTGTAGATTTTAATAGATACATTTCTTTTATTCAATGAATTTCCAAGTCGAATCGATTATGCCGTAATGCACTTCAATAATGTTTCCTCTGTCGCAATATTATACTTCCAATTTAAAAAAAAAAAAGAAAAATACATAATATAATAATTTTATTTGCAACGCATGCAAATAAAATTATTTTGTGATATTGTGTTTCTTATGCAACACAATTTGTATATTTTCGCAATTCCCTATTGCGATAAATTTGATGAGAGATCTAGATAACAAGAAATTCAATATATTCGTATATCTCAGAATGCTTTTTATAGTAGACAAAATAAATCATATCAATGATAGAAGATAAAATAAATCATATCAATGATAGAAGACATAGGAGTTTAGGCGAATCTAGGTTACATTTTACAGTCTATAGATCAAAATAGGGCGCTCATGTAGATCTGTGTGTGTGTGCACAGATTCTATAGACAAAAATAATCTCCCTATCTTCGGTAACACTGGTGGGTATGTGTCAGTTGAGGATCATAACCCGAAATACAATCACGCTTCATATATTATTCATAAGAGAAAACTCATTTAAATTTTGAGTTAGCGTAAGATTTGCATTGAAATAAAAAAATATATCTTTATTATTTATATATATTAATTCTAAGATATAACAGCTAACAATCTGGTACTTTAAATAATTCCAAATAAAAATGTTATATTAATATCGATTCTTTTTTAACATTGATTCTTAATCATTATACAATAGAAATGTATCGATCTCTATTAGATTAACAAAATAGTAAAAAGATGATCTTATATTAAATTTCTAATCTAATATTTTATTTTAATTAAGAATATCATAACACCTACAGTTTTGCAATTACATAGTGCAGAGCTTTTTATATTAAAATTTTAAAAGCTTCAAAGATAAAAGTAGATAAGAAAGTTAATTTTGTATTTAAATTCATCTTTATTGTTATTTTTCAATTACTCTCAAAAATTTCAGGGATATTTTAATAGAGTTTTACTTAGCTGAATTCTGTTTATCGTGAAATCAAAGTGATAACACGGCTGTGATAAATAGAGGCCGTGAGGTACAGTAATCATACAAAAATAATTTGTCCCGAGAATGAACGCCTACACATGGCCGATTTGAGATGAAGATCGTTATCGCTATTTTCTTCGAAAGCAAGAATATCTAGCCTGATAACAAAAAGTTTGCAGAATAAGACTGCAAATAAAGTACATCGAGTGTTGCTCCGATTATCGCGATATACAATAAAAAACAATATTTTGCAATTTAAGAAAAATATGCACATTGATCGTCCAAGTGTTGGCGAAATTTTTGGCAAGTACTCTTTTCGAGACAGGCACTAATAATAAAATTTTGATATTCTATTTTTCTACATTCTTCTTTACGTGAATAATTTCACCATAATTATAAATAAATATACCAGAAATTTTATTTTTTATTTAGTATAATACCAATTTTCTGTTTTCTTTCCCGAGTATTTAAAAAATTGAACAAAAACTTAATAGTCAAGATAATAAAAAGTGGAAACAAATAAGATCCCCAAAAGTAGCAGTTCAACTATAAAAATGTGATTTACGCAATTATACTTTAAAATATTATACAGTAATAAAAAATTAAGAATAAGATAAATAGTTTTATATCTTTTTGTTGAATAATGATATATTAAAAAAAAAGATCCCCCTCCCCTTAAATTCCTTTGCTAATATCTTAAACAGATTTTATTGTTAAATCGAAATGAAGACGCGAAAAAATATGAGATTATATAAACAAATATTTTTTTAAATAAGTTTACATTTTACATAAACGCGCGTGATTTTTCCTCGTTAGAAATATTTTAATTTGAAATATATTTTTTTAAACATAGAAGTTTTCATATCAATACATAAATATATTATATAAGAACGCAAATTTATTCTGCATATTGCGTATTTCGTAACTTTTGACTGGGTTTGATGTGTTCGACTAGATTTTGTTAAGATGTCTACGATAACATTCATTATATTCATGATACGTGTCTGGACATCAAATTAACCACGCATACTTTACAAATCGACCTTTCATCGAAAGTAGGATAATATCAATAACGAAAAGTTATTCACGTATATAACTTGGCGTCACAGTGCAAAAAGTCGAACTAAGGTTCAAAGTACTGGTAGATTCTTAGAATGATTTCGTATAAAAAAAAATATCAAAAAGTTACGTTAAGTGAAGTTTTCTTCGTTCTTATCAAGCATTATGTTTGATTCATGAGAATCCGTAGAATTTCTTCCAACTGTATAACTTTAATTGAATTGAACAAATTATGCTAATATTTAGTACAAAATAAATGTAAAAGAATAATCAAATTACACCGAATTATGTGCTGAATTAGCAAATCGAGACAGAATTATATTTGTTGGATATACATGTATATTACGCGTTTTCTCTGCATGTACTATAGCATTCCAAGCATTTCACTTATGTTAGATCTTGCGAAATATAACCGATGACTCGGGTGAATCTCTCAACTATAAAAATAAAATAATATATAGTATATATTATTTTCACTTCTGATGTCATTAATTGCACTATGTTATAAGCTATCGCGGACCGTTATATCGATTTTACTAGACTTTAGCATAGACACGTACTTTGTATGATCAATACACTAGACATACATTAAAAATTAGAAAAGTTTGTTCAATGTACAAGTGAATGTAAAGAATTATACAAATATTTCAAATCCTAAGAATCCCAAGAAATTCAATAATTAAAAAATGTTGATTCTTTACTGATATTATATTTAATTATGGTACCAGGAACGAAAAATTATGTAAATGTTTGTCTCTAAAAATACATCGCAAGAAATTAGTTTTTTCCCTTATCATCATATTATATTTGGCAATATACATATATAGATTGAAAAAAGATAATAAACATTTTTTTCGATTCGTGAATAAATAGCTATAAATTTTAATAAATTGTCACATTTGTTCAGTTTCGCTAGAAATGTAAGGCAGATATAAATTGAGTTATATGTGCATTTATCTAATACAGGATACTAAAAGAAGAGTTTTCGATATATTTTATAAATCCATACTATCACAAACGCGAATTGTAATGTATGAAAAAAATAATTTATTTGAATATATTTTGTAAGATGATACTAAAAGAAGAGTGTTTTCGATATATTTTATAAATCCATACTATCACAAACGCGAATTGTAATGTATGAAAAAAATAATTTATTTGAATATATTTTGTAAGACAAAATAATTCACATGATTTCTCGTTTCTAATATCATGATTTAATATGACTGTAATAAAGAAATAGGAGATTTAAGCATCTAAAATATGCAATAGAGTTAGCAAGCACTAAAGTTTGCAGATTTTCCCATCCCCTCATATTCGATTTATTTAATGTCAACAAGTTATTTCTGTGATTTTCGTAATTATTTTGGCAAATTTCATTTACTAACTTATTTCTAATTTTAGGTAACTATTTTAAGGCGCACTGTATATAAAAATTCACATATACTTACATCGAATACTAAAATATTTTCATCGAAGTCACAAAGTCATGTCGAAAATACACACAACGCATAACCACGTATTTTCGTTAATTGTTTAAAAGCCAAGTTATATTAATGTATGATAATGAAATTTGCCTTATTCGTTTATTAAAGATAATTTGATGAGCTATTTTGTGATACCAACCGTTTTATTTATAGAGAACAGTTAAGGTTCGCGCGTTGTGGTTTAATAATTTTAGAAAATTTCCGTAAATGCAATTAGTTTGATATTTCTTTTGCATCACACTGATATATTAATCAAGCTACTTGTTGATCATAACCTGTTCGCTTAACTTTCTTTCATGTAATTTCGATCATATTTATAATAGAATTATTTGCAATTTTTAAAGAATAAAAATAAAATAAAAAAAGACGCACACACACATTTATCAAAAAAAAGGCAAATAAATTATCAATAATTGTAATTTTATCGGCTCTATATAATTGGAATTTTATCGGCTCTATAACTATATTTATATATTAAAAATAAAAATAAATTTAAAAAATAGTTATTGTAATTAATAGCCCGGTTAATGAGAATGTAACATGTGCAGAAGTGAAACGGAAATGATGAATCAATATGATGCCATGAATGGACGAATCAGACACCTACGTGTGATATATAAACATCTTATAATATTTTAAATATTGACACAAACATTACATTAGAGATATCTGAAAATACAAATGTATGAGTTACGATTTATAAATAATAAATCTGATTTCTGATATTAATAAAAATTAAGAGATTATTCTAACTTTAATAATAAAATACAAAAAAATCTGATGCATCTAACATCTCTAAGCTTTTTTTACTAAATAATTAAATTTAGGAATATTAAGGATAAATAAAAAATAAAATTTTTATTATTTAATAATAATTTAATCAAACATTATATTTTTTTAATTTAATATTTTTAATGATATAATTAAACTTTAAATATTTACAAAACTTTAAATATTTAGAAATATTTAAATATTTCTAAGTTTTATAAAAATTAGAAATAGTGTTACATAAATTAAGCTTTCTACATCATTTTATTAAAGTTGACAATGGAAGAAATTTTTTATTAATTTAGCTTCTGCAAATATATGTAATTAAGAGAAAGTGCGCAATATTCGGCAATTTTTGTTGGGAGAAAGTGTGCTTTCAGACATCATTTTTATCATGTAACAATCCATTCAGACATGTTAACATTAATGAAAATAGTTCCACAACAAAGGTTACTTTTAGCATAATTTTTAATAACTGCTTTATTCGCACACATTAATTATTATATGACAAATTATTAATTATACCTCGTTAATTAAAATTTAATGTATAACTTTTGCAAATGTTATCAGTCTTAAATGTCTTTTATAATATGAGATAAATATTTTTTTGCATTTAAAACTGAGTTTTTTTTAAATATATTTTTTATTATATTTATTTATTTTCTAATATTACGACTGCTTTGTTGATTTAAAATACCCAGTTATTGTTATTATCGTTATTAACATCCATATATGTATAACCAGAAATTAATTTTTGATAAAAGAAACTCCTCCCACACACCAATCTATTCCGCCTAAAAATAAATCGAGCCCATGTAACGTTAAACAATATTTCTCGAGAACGAGATTTTTTCATAGTTTATATATTTTGAAGTTGCAATAATAAGATAAATAATATAAAGTATAAAAGGTGTATCGCGCGTGTTAATTAAAACTAACAAAGGTCAATTCGTTTGTGCGACTCAACTGCATCAGAAATTTATTTCATCGCTGAATTATAAATATGATAAATGATAATTCAATTAAACAACTTTGTTTTCATAATATAATTCTTTCCCATTAGTTGCAAAATTCTGGTGTTCTATGATTATTATTAATATCTAACATATTTAAATATGTCTAAAAAAGGCAATTTTTTGCATTGACATTGTGCGCAGAAGGTTACCCGATTTGCATTCAATACACGTGTCCTAAAATACAAATACAGGAAACGCTCTT